TGTGGGCTGGGCAGCCACGCCGGAGGGAAGCCGGGAGGGGATCTCTGTTCTACAGTGTGGCTCGCTCAGAGGCAGAGTGAGTCCATCCGGAGAGGAGTCCTTGGAGCTTGGCCGGGATGACTCTCGAATGGTCCAGAACGGCAGTGTTAGATCTGGAACTTGGTAGCGTGAGGGGATGACCCGTTGGTTGGGTTTGGGAGTGAGTCATTGTTGTTGGGAGGAGAATGAATGTGGAAGCTGCAGAGAGCAGAGGCCCAGGAAGAGGGACAGCTGTGGATGGAGGGAGCGGGAGGGAGGGATATGAGAGGTCTGGGCAAGCATTTGCCCATCAGTGGCAGAAGGCCAGTCTTTAGAGCCTTGGTGACAGTCCTTTTTTCAGGCCTCGCCAAGATCCTTTGTTCTGGGCCCTGCTGCCTGGTGGTTTTGGGAAGGGAGGGTTACACACACACACACACACACACACACACACACACACACACACACACACACACACACACAGAGAACTGTGGAGCAAGGACCTCTTGGAGGCCCAGAAGCTGCTGCTGAGAAGGAAAGGTGAGACCTGACCCCTGTGGTTTGGTCACTGTAGGGCATGCGCAGGCAGCAGCAGTGACACGGGGCAGGAGAGCGGGGTCTTGATCTCAGGTACCTCACGGCAAACATCCAGACGAACTGGCGGGCAGAAGTCCAGGGAAGTTGTCGCTGTCTCCAGAAAGCCCGTTGCGGGTGCTCGGATAATAGGTGAGCAGGAGAAGCGCTCTTGCTCCTGTGCATGCCGCTGTGTGTGGAACACGGCTGCTTCAGTGAGACAGGGACAAGCTAGAGCAGAGAGGGCCGTGCACGGGGAGGTGGGGCGCAGTGTACGGAGAGGAGGAGGGGCGCCGTTTAAGGGAGGAGGTCAGGGTGTGTGTGTGTGTACACAGGGAGCCAGAGAAGCTTGGGGGGGGGGGCAGAGGGAGGGCTGCTGCATTTCCAGCTGGCCTCAGGCCTCAAGGGATGTGCAGCGAGTTCCTGTGTGTCCGGGTGGTTTTCTGGAGCGCCCAGTGGTTGGGCTGTGTGCAGGACCTGTGGCCCCCGTTCGCTCCAGCTTGCTTCTCTCTCTGCTACTAGGGCCCAGCCTGTGGAGCCCAGGTGTCTCCAATGTCTTTCCTGCTCGGGGGCTATTCCTGCTTCTGTGCTCAGAAGCGACACCTGGCGGTGCTCAGGGCACCACTTTGGGGTGCTGGGGATCGAAATGAGGGGCAAGGCTGCACGCACCGAGCCTCTTAGCTCTGCTTGTGCTTCTCCCCGAAGTGGCAATTAGCGAGCAGCGTTCCATCGAAGGAATGAACAGTCCCTGGAACACCCAAGGGACGTCCCAACGAAGAACACATGTGTTTTCTTTTTTTTTTTTAAAGAAAAATTGCACTTTAACGAAGGCGCTTAGCTTTCAAAACCCCACAAGGCGAGTTGTGCATGGCCCCTCCTGCTTGTCAAGTACTTTGTAAGCGCCAAGAAGCTGCTCCCCCCCAAGTGAACCTTAAATGCACCTTCCCTTTGCTGGAGTTTTCGCCTCACATGGTTTATGTTTTAATTAGACGTGAGTTGTCGGGGTATAATTGTCTCGTCAGAAGGCAGGCACCAGCCCGAGTAGGGCGCAGTAAATCGTCACAGAAGTTTTATATCGATGCTATTTCGGGGCTTATAATTTATCAACTCTCTGTGTGTGTGTGTGTGTGTGTGTGTGATGATAGTCTGTAAATCACATCGCTATGCTTTGTGGCGATGTGAACGGCGGCCTGGTCTTGATGTGGAGAATTCTGTCCACAGCCCCCAGGCCCTTACCCTGAGGCCCTGTGCCCCGAAGGTGGCCCACACCCCAGGAAGTACCAACCTCTGTTAGGCCGACTTTGTGTTGACACTGACACCCCTGCTGTTGCTAGGTGGCCGGAGGGGTTTGGCTGAACCCATCCCTGCGCCCTGGTGTCTCAGAAAGGTTGTCATCGGGGGCTTCTGTGAGGATCCAGGTCCTGGAGCACTGCGCCCCTCCCCCATGCCCCGCAATCTCCCCCCACTCCCCAGCTGTAGGTGGCAGACACCCCTTGTTCTGCCGCCTCTTGGAAGGAAGGTGGGGTTGGTTCTCCTTGGAGGAAATCCTGGCGGCTTAGCAAGAACGCGGCTCAGTTATTTAGGGCTTAAGACTCGATGTGGCTGGATTTCTAAGATGTAGCTTGTGCCGATGCAGAGTTTAGGAATGCAAGAGCGGGAGCAAAACTCCCATTAATCTCACCCTCTCCTCTAGACCCCCGGAGGGTCGGGGAGACCCCTAGCACAGAGTGGCACAAAGTTGGACCTACCCGGAGGTATCTCAGCCTCCTGTCGGAACCGAGCGAATCTCGATATCCCCAATCCGGTTTTCACCCAGGGTATTAATGCTTTCCTTTTCTCTCAAGGCCCCGAATATCTGAGGAGCTCAAATACTTCCATTTTTAAATCGAGCTGCTCCAAAAACACTTAAGGTGTAAAGTAGCCGCGTGGGTGCACGGACTTCTTAGATTAGCAGACGGGGTGCGGATAGAGTGCCTGCCTCCACCCTAACCTTCCGCTGAACCCCGAGAGCTGCCTGGCTGTGTGTCTCCATCCTTCCTTCCCTCCCGCGCTTCCCCCGTCACTGTAGCAGTCTCCGTCTCCCGGGCTCGGACCCTTGTTCTAGTGCAGGCTGTTCTGCCTCTTTCTGAACCATGCCCACCCGCCTCCTACTTTCTCTGTTGGTGTGTGCAGCTCACGTTTAGCTGTCCTGAAGATCATCGCTTATGGCATCCCGGGATTTGTCTCTGTCCCGGCTGCACAAGACTGTCAGCGCCCAACCTGGCTTCTCTTGGGTCCATTCTTGGCTTCAGGAGACGTGCCACATTTTTGCACTGCAGGCATGAATAAAGCCACACGTTATACATTCATGTCTGTATGTGTTTTGGTGGCATCAGGACTTGGTCTCACAGGGGCAGGGCACGACCTTGACTCCTGAGCTACACGCCCAGTCGAATGCCCTTGATCAGTTTTTTATCGGCGTTTCCACTCAATTCTGCTTGCTTGGGTCTGACTCCCGGCTCTGTGCTCAGGAGTCGCTCCTGGCAGGGCTCAGGGACCATATTTGGTGCTGGAGATTGATCCCAGATCGGCCGCGTGCAAAAGCCAGTGCCTTCCCTGCTATGCTCCTGCCTCTGCCCCTGAAAGGATGAACGCCTGTTATTGACTTGTGTGTCTGTGTGTTTTCAAGTCTGTCTGTCTCTCTTCCCCGCCCCCACCTCCCCCAATCCTACTCTTGTCCATTGTTCTCTTGTGCTGCCGTCCCTTTCACTCGCCAGTCATTTCCTTCTGTGGCCGTTGCAGATACAGTTTGCGCTGGACTGTCCGCTCCTTGAAGGCTGCAGCAATGCCCGTTACCAGCCAGAATGTCCCAAGAAGCAGCGTCTTGCAAGGCAGCAGGCATTCAGTCATATTACTCACTACACAAAACACTCGTGCAGAGGTCCATTACTTTAGCTGGGACTCGAATATTCCGGCTCACCCAGGGCCTTCCACCAACTGGGCGCTCTCCTTAATGACGGGCCCTGGCAACAGCTGCTTTAGCTGAACTTGGCCGAGACGATCATCAAATGTCAGACTTAGAAGGAATGGAGGTATTTGGAGGGGGACTGCATAAGGAAATGAAGGAGTTGAAGTCTTTCTTCCAGGGTGACCCTGTCCCTTTCTGTGGGGGCTAGAACCAGGATTTCCACCCGTGGAAGGCGGCAGGTGCTCTGTAGCTGAACCACTCCAGAACCCCTTCCTGTCCCTTGGCCTTTTGCTTGGGAGTTTCTCCCTTCCCATCCAGTACATTTCAGAGCCTTCAAACCATGCCCTACAACAAATTGTGTGGAATCATTTATTGATTGATTTTATATATTACTGTATCACTGTCATCCCGTTGATCATCGATTTGCTCGAGCAGGCGCCAGTAATGTCTCCTTTCGTCCCTTTCGCATGCTAGTGTAGCCCGATGGGGTATTGGGGGCTCTTTCAGGGTCAGGGGAATGAGGACTGTCATTGTTAATATGTTTGGCCTATCGAGTACATCACGGGGAGCTTGCCAGGCTCTGTCCTATGGGCGGGATACTCTCGGTAGTTTAGTGGGCTCTCCAAGAGGGAAGGAAGCTCTTCCTGGAGCTTTGTTTTATAGTCTCTGGATCTTGGCCATTGATGAGATTACGTGGCGCCAGGGGCAGTTTGTGGGTGTGACTGCCAAACGACTGGTAAACTGGGAGCTGGGTGGAGGAGGCCCAGCCCCGATCCGAGCAGCCATGGGTCCCGCATACCTGAGTTCCTCTGCTGGTTCCTTCATGCGTGAGACTCGTCCGAGCATGTGGCAAGTGGCCTTGAGCGTGGCTGTGGCTGGGTTTTGGAGGTTTTTGGCTGCTGGGGTTCTACATGGTGCGGGGAGGGAGACTCCCTTCCTGGGATTTTATATAGCACTGCACTATAGCACTGTTGTCCTGTTCATTGTTCATTGATTTGCTCCAGGGAGCACCAGTAATGTCTCCATTGTGAGTCTTGTTGTTACTGTGTCTGGCATATCGAATACGTCACGGGGAGCTTGCCAGGCTTTGCCGTGCGGGCGGGACACTCTCGGTGGCTTGCCGGGCTCTCTGAGAGGGGCGGAGGAATCGAACCTGGTCGGCCCCAGTAGAGGCTGTGTGCAAGGCAAACGCCCTACCCGCTGTGCCATCGCTCCAGCCCAGGGATTTTATATATGTATTTAAAAAAATCTTCCTAAAATTGTTCATGATTTATTACATTCACTATTTCAACACTAGTTCTACCACCAGTGCATAAATAGTAATATAACACTATGCAATAATTTATATTTTATTATTAAATAGAAAAAGTATATATATTTATATTTACAGTTATTTCTGACTCTCTTTGCTAGCTCTCTTCTCAAAGGAGTAATTCCTCTTCTTCCTCTTACTGTGTTTCTCCAGGATGACAGTGATGGGATTCCGTGGTCAGAAGAAAGGGTGGTCCGTAAAGTCCTTTACTTGTCTCTGAAGGAGTTCAAGAATGCCCAAAAGAGGCAGCACGGCGAAGGCCTTCCTGGGAGCCTGAAAGCAGTGAACGGTGAGTGGCCTGCCCAGAGTCAGCCCTGAGGTCTGAGCGCCTGAGCTTCCAAGGCCTGCCTGTCTTCATTGTTCCTGTGTCTGTTCCTCTCAAGGCTTCGCCCTAGGGTCTGCAGGGTGTCTTCCTTGCTTGTACCTCCTTGTAGACAAGACACCCCCCACCCCGCTGCTGTGGGGCCCTGGGTTGAAGGTGGTGGAGCCTGTTTCACGGGTTTTCTGTGCATCCCTGTCTCTTGGCCCAGGTAGGGCTGGGGAGGCCTTTGATGATCTTGCCTCTGCGCTGCGGGGAGCTTTTGCATTCTTATCCCCTGTTTGTGCAGGAAGTCGCTAAGCCCACTGCCAGCCGCCTGCCCTTCCTGCAGCCAGTTTCTGCTTCCTTCCTGAGGGGGCAGGCAGGTACGCCTCAGAGAATGCCCGGGATGCTGGGCGTCCAAGGGTGGAGAGAAGTCAGCGAGAGCATGCCAGGGGGCTCCGCGTGTGGCTCCCACGTGGATCCTGAAGCCTGCGAGGAAATTGGGGAAATGGAGTTGATTGAGATTTATTTTTTGCTTTTTTTTTTGCTTTTTTGGGTCACACCCGGCGATACAAGGGGTTACTCCTGGCTCTGCACTCAGGAGTTACTCCTGGCGGTGCTCAGGGGACCATATGGGATGCTGGGAATCGAACCCGGGTCAGCCACATACAAGGCAAACGACCTACCCACTGTGCTATCGCTCCAGCCCCTTTTCTTCTCTTTATCTTTTTCTTTTATTTTTCCATATTTATTTAGAGGGGGTGGGGGGGTCTACCCTCCCGGAGGTGCTCAGGGCTCACTCCTGGCTCTGCATACAGGAATCACTCCTGGTGATGCTTGGGGGACCCTATGAGGATTCCAGGGATTGAGCCTGGGTCAGCCACAGCTACACTGTTTTCTCTCTCTCTCTCTCTCTCTCTCTCTCTCTCTCTCTCTCTCTCCCCCCGCCCCCATCCCCCAACACTTCCTTTTTTTCCCTCCCCCCCCCATATTTATGGACGCAAAATAAACAGTAGAATATACTGACTGCCCCAAGTATTCTGCTGAATTTTGGTATATATGCTTGTTAAATCTGAAATTTGGGCTCCCGTCGTTTTCTTCGTTGTCCACGATAAGAAAAGGCGTCTAGGTCCCTTTTCTGTTGAGAGAATTGATGCTCTTATTTATTTATTTGATTTTTTTCAGTCAGATATGCTCAAGGCTTACGTCTGGCCGTGCCTGGGGGACCCTGTAGGGTGTCAGGGATGAACGGGTGTGGGCTGGAAGCTGGAAGCACGGCAAGCATCTCACCTGCTGTTCCTTTCTGGGCCCTGTTGTTTTCCTGTGAACCTGGCGCTTTGCTTGGTGCAGCTTATCGGTGGGGAAAATGCGGCGGGGAAGGGAGGGGCTGGAGAAATTTACTGCTGAATTTCCCGCAGTTCGGACGTGGGTTCTCTTCACAAGTTCAGGTCATAGCGCATGCGCACTTCTCCTGCTATCTAAGCTTGACAGTAAGATAGTGCTTTTGGAACCTAACAATTAAAAACGCGCCCAGCTGGGGGGAAAAAAATCAGCTTCCGGGACAAAGAGGTTAGTCAGGCTCCTCCAGGATTGCAATTGAACAAAGGTGGAATTTGGGTGCTGGAACAAAAACTTAAGTCATTCAGAAAAACAACCAAGCTAGCAACTCAGCCGAATGTAGACTCTCATTTTTATTGGCACCGTCGGAGGCTGGAGGGTAGCGAGAAAGGGATACTCAGGAAAACTGGCAGAGACAACCGCGGGCTATCATTGAAGACTTAAATTCTTGGAGTCTCCTCTCTCCCCTCACACACAAAGACATCTTTGGTGGTGCTTGTTGTTGGTTTTCCTTTTTCCATGTTTTTTTTTCCCATCTTTTACCCTTTTTTCATCTTTTACCCTGATTAAAAATTGCCATTTCGTTGTTGCTTTTGCGTTCCTTTCAGATCCAAGACAGCAGAACCTTGTGTCTTGGTCTTGCGATATTTTGAACGGGCCCTTTGCTGGTTCTTACTGGGTTAATGCAGGCAGCGTTCCAACAGGCAGTGTTTTGTTATTGTCTCTATTGGATTTGGAAAGCAGTTCGAAGAGAACACATTTTCTTGTCTCAGAACTTAAGTGTGGGTTTTACCAATCATTTTCCTAAAGGCCTCTAACATGTTTTGCGGTGGTCTTGTTTGGGGGCCTCTGCAGGCCAAAATTGTTACCATGGAGATAGCCCCTCCTTCTTCTGAGGGGCTCTCCTAGGGGATGCGAAGCAGAGAAAATGAACCGAGCAGAACATGCTGGACTCTTGCAAGCCGAGGTGGGGGAGACCTAGGTTTCAAGCAGCGTTTTCTTGATGGGGTGAATGTGCTGATAAAGCAGTCCTCTGAGGTTTTTTTGGGGGGTCATTATATCCAGTAGTGCTTGGGGGCTGCTACTGGATCTGTGCTTGGGGATCTTTCCCCGTGGTACTCAGGGGACCGACCGTTTGATGCCGGGGATTGAACCCGAGCTTCCCGCCTGTTAAACTTGCGTTTACACCCCTTCGCTGTCTTGGAATTTGGATGTTTTAATAGGTCATCCTAGGTGATGGAATGATGGCTTTAGCACACTGTCTTGGCTCATGCAAAGTATATGCACGCTCTTGCTCTCTCTGGCGCATGTGCGCGCGCTCTCTCTCTCTCTCTCTCTCTCACTCTCTCTCTCTCTCTCACACACACACACACACACACTTCTCTGGGGAGGAGTTAGCTCTGGGATATTGGTGCCCAACTTTCCAAAGCTCTGGGGTTTTCATCAGGAAATGGCAACTGCCGTCTTGGGGGGCTCACGGGAAGGCTGGGAGTGGCATGCGTGAGGGCACGTGCTTCTTGTTCTCTTGTACTGTCTGATGTTGGCACAGCCTTGATTGAATCCAGGACTCCCTTTAGATCGTCACGGGATGACAGTGGTACCATGGCTTTGAAAACCAGGGCTCTCCCTTGTGCCCCTCTCCGTTTCCAGACAGAAGTGGTTCTGGGCCGTTGATAGGTCTGCCTTTCCCGGGAAAACTCCCAGTTGCAGCGTGTTATTTTGCGTTGCCAACATACAGTGCTCTTCGGGCCTTCTTTCGAAACCGTCGCTGTCACTTTAGCTGACACCTTGGCCTGGTGGGGCGGATGGACAGGGAGCTCCTTGTTCTCACCTCTTGTGTGCGGGGTCCCCGGGCTCTCTGGCCAGGACGAGCTGCAGTGTCTGTCCGGGGTGGCGGGAATAACCGGGAACAGGCCTTGTCCTTTGTGCCCCAAACCCTCAGTTGTGCTTTTGTGGCTCAGAAGTGATGTGAAAGGAGTGTGGCGAGTGTGATTCTTGGAGAGCTCGGGCTTCCTGGCCGCTGGCCGGCCGGCTGATGGTGGAGGGCTTTGCTGACCAGGAGCCTCTCGCACGATAAAAGCTCCTTTTCGTCGCTATCAGAAGTGGACAAAAAGCCTCAGCAGAGAACTGGCAGACACCGAGGCTGAGGCTACTCTTGGAGGGTCCTTGGCCCGCCGGGGCTGAAATTAGGGACATTTAAATAATAACATGCTCCACAAATAACGAGTACACATAATTACACGGTAAGGGAGGAAAGCTATTAACTGTATTTGAATTTCATTTGCTTCCTATAAATGTCATCGGAGATTCAGCAAACCCTCTGGCCAGCCAGCGCGTCGTGCCTGGATTTATGGGGTGCGGGAGGTCTGCCGAGAAGCTGACCGTGGTCGTGATGGCTGCCACCCCCCCTTTTCCCGCCCGCCCAGCAATGTGCCCATTCTGGCACCCTGGCCAAGGAGCTGGGCACCCGGGAGCCTGTGTGTCTGGGAGGGGCCAAGAGGGGGTTGAAACTCCGTCTCTTCTCTGGTGCACCCCTGCTTTTAACCACCACTCAGAGAACTAGACGTGATTTGGGGACCCTCCATAAAGGTCGGATTCCAAAACTTCAGAATGTGCTGAAGGACATTTTTACCAACTAGAAATTTCCTTTGAAGGAGATTTGGGGGGGGTGCGGGGCGGTGGTCAGGGAAGCGGGATTTTATTCCTAGGGAAAGAGACCTCAGAAGAAGAGGGTGTTGTTGTAAGTATTAATGTGACTTAACTTGAGCTTGGGAGTTGAAGTGAAAATCAGAGATGATCAGAACCCCTTCCGGGGCGGGACACGCCTCACGCCCCTCCCACAAGCACAGGGCCACTCGTGATTTGGGTTAACATTGCTGAGGGATGGAGGTTTGTGTTTTTTGGCGGCCTGTGGACCCCTAGGCTGAAAGGCACCGGGGGTGGGGGGCACATACATGGATGCGCACACCAGGGCTGCTGGTTTTCCTCTTGAGCTGCCAACCTCCCTCCTTCTCTCCTTCCTTCGTTCTCTTCCCTCCTTCCCTTCCTCTCTTCTTCCTTCCTCCCTCCTCCCCTCTCCGTTCCTCCTCCTTCCCTTCCTTGGGATGCCCTTAGCTTTGGATCGGAACCCGTACTTCCAGTTTCACAGCTGGACTGTTGCCCTCTGTGGCCGGCAAACCCTGTGGCTCATGCACCCACGTGGCCCCCCACCCCCATCCCCACCTTTAGAAATTTTTTTGTTTGTTGGTGGCCGTGCCTGCAGTGTTTATGGCTTACTCCATGCTCTGTGCTCAAGCGTCACTCCCGGGGGGGGGGGATTTGGGGTGCAGGGGATTGAACCCAGTCAGCCGCGTGCAAAGGCAGGTGCTTTTGCCCGCTGTACTCACTGGCTCTCCCTCCCCACCCAGGCTTTCTGTTTTTGAAGTTGAGGAAACTCTCAGACCTTGCCAATGACCCCTGTGAGTGAAATCACACCCCGTGTATGACCTGTGGTGGGCTTGGGCCGTAAATGACCCCTGTGGGTGCAAGTCCTGTCTTTCAGTAAGCTGCTTCCTGCCTCCCCATCAGTGGGGGTTGTCACGGTGGACCCTGGGTTTAGAAGCCTTCGTGATTGTATTCGTGACTTAGTGATGTTCCGCCGATCAGACCAG